GGTTAGAGATGTTTTTCATTGTCAGGGTTGTCTGAATTAAAATAAACTTCATGCCAATATCAATGTTATCATTCTTTGAATAAAATCATATAGGGGAAACTTAGGGACATTCAATAGTTGATCCTGATTAATACAGAGAACTAAGACTGGAAGAGATCTGAAGCTTCAAAGACTAGTTCTGAATAACCGTCACAATATTCAGATCTGATGTGCCTGAAGAACAAAACACACACTATATCTGTGATTTCTAATAGGTTGTTGAATATAAAATCCGATGCTTCTCTGGTTTGCCTGAAATGTGCCAAAAAAAACCAAAACAGAATAAGTAGAATAAGGTGCTTAGCATGTAAACCTTTCACTTTCTCGAGTTCACCTTTGCTTCAGGTATTCATTTTTTGGCCTTGGCACAAGTATCAAGTTGAATTGCATGTAATCAATAATCACACATCAGGGTGGCTTAAGGACTATCTTCCGATGGTCAGTTTTCATGGATTAGAAGATTTTCTGCATGCCTATGCATTCTTCAGTCAACACATACACAAAGGAGCACAGAGTTAATAATGAAACCCTAACATCTGGAACTACTATCTCTATGACACTTTTACGCCTAAAATTTTATCACAATGTTCCTTGGAATTTCTTTTTCTGCCTCTGGGACAAATTCAAAAGCCCAGATCGCAATTGTTTCTACTGCCACCAGATAAAAGGCCATCGTTCAACCTTCTTTGTTGTGATAAAATCATTCAAGGGAAAGGAACAGCACATACCTTAACCATCTCCTGGTTACCACTTCAGCACCTCTTAGAAGGACAGAGCATTGGTGTACTTGTGACTAGCAAGGCTAAAAAATGAGAAGAGTTGCTGGCTGACAGGCTGCCTATAGAATCCTCTTAGATGGCTCCGCATCTTATCATTTCTGATCTCAGTGAGACAACACTGTGAGAAGATTGGCAGAGAGCTCTGTGTTTATCAAGAAGTCTGGACTGATTTTCAAAACCCTTCAGAGATGCATCTCTGTATAGAACAGAGGTGCTACTCTGAGCCTTTCCATTTTCCTACCAAAGAATGGAAGGGCCGAGTATGACTACTTAAATAAGTATTGGAGAACTGGGGGCCAATTGATTTTTTTGTTATGGAACTGAGGAGGAGACTTCCATTTATTTCTCATATAGTTACAGCAGATCTGCTTTTTTAAGTGAACGTTAAAGTTGCCCTTTAAGTGGAAGTTAAAAGTTGTCCTCTCTTCTTGCCATTGTGGGCCCTGAGAATTTCAAATCTATGAAAGGTTTTTTTTCTCATCTGTGTGTGTGTGTGTGTGTGTGTGTGTGCGCGTGTATCAAAAATGGGATACGTCAAATAGAAGAATTTGGAATAAGCTGTACCTTGCTGAAGTCAGACACCAAGAGTTTTTAAACCAAACTGAAAAGTCCTCTTCCTTCAGACAGGTTCAGTAATATTACACTTGGATATCAGTTTGATATGCCTGTTATATCTGGCTCAGAGGTTTGTTCTCCCAGTGACTATTCCTAACTCTTTCTCTAACACTCCAAACTGAGACCTTGTTAAGTTTAAAGGGTCTCTGTCAAAAACCTATTGAGTCAACATTAAATGGAGGCAGCTCTGCCCCTTGGAGAGATTCGGTACAACTTGACCTTGCCTGTCGCTCAGAGCAAGAGGCTAATTATGAAATACATAAGAGAAGAAAAAGAGGGTTTGACTGCTTAACAAACTTTGGTGGTTTATAAAAACCTCAGATTCTAGAGATACAGTAAACTCCAGCACTGCTTCAAAAGCAGTCTATCATTGTAGCTTCAAAAGCCGTATATCGATGTAATGTTATAGTATCAACTCGGTGTTCTTTTTCTCAGTAGTCTTACATAATATATTGGGCTTACTTTTTCCCCCAAAAAATAATCCTGATAGCAGAAAGACATTCTGCTTGTGTGTGTGTGTGTGTGTGTGTGTGTGTGTGTGTGTGTGCTGAATATATAGACAGGTTTCAGCAATTCTTCCTGGAATACCATACCATTTGTGGGTAGATTAAATAGAACTTAAGAAATACTTTGGAATACAAAGGTTCCAGTCTATCAGACAAAAAGAAATCAATATAGATTTCTGTAATTAAATTAAGGAAGCTATAGCAACATAACAGAGAGGTTGTTTCCAAAAGGAAAACACTTTTTTTTTAAAAAAAATAATCAAATCTTCATTTACGATCTTAGAAAACAAAAACAAAAAAATCCTTCTATTGACATGATTAATCCATAATGTGTCATTCAATTTTCCCATTCTCAAATTAGCTATGCTTAAAAGGATGCTGAAACTGCAATCAACCTTCAAGATAGATTCATCTAATATTCTCCCACCATCAGAGCATTTTGACCTTCCATTTTGACCTTTGACACTCTATTACAGATTATTTTTAAATACCATTTTTATTAAAACTTTCAAACAAGAAGGTAAAGCTAACATAAACTGATGGATAATAAGAAGGAAAAAGAAAGAAGTCCAAGAAAAAGCAAAAAGGGAAAAAATGAAAGAAAAATTGAAAAGAGAGGGAAACAATACAAAGAAATGGTTTTTAATATTCTTCACAGCACTTATAATTACATTTTGACATTTCCTTCTAAAGTTATATCGTATTATTATTCTTTCTATAATATATCCTGTCTAATCATCAAAATGATAAGTCACAAGTTCCTTTTTCTTATTTGTATGCAAAATGTTCATAAGAGACTTCTGGCAGTAATAAATGTAGATAATGTCTTTTCTGTAATCAAAAAAAATACATTTACCTATTTCAGCAAAATTGTTAACTTCGCCAACTTGGTAGTGTTGAATCTTTGTATCTCTCTGCATATACTTCCTGATTTCAAGTAGCCATCTTGGAAAAAAGAAACTTTTCCAATATGTTTGAATTCATATAATTGAAATGTTTTTCAATTTTTCAAAACTCAACCACATAATGGGCTTTTAACATATTACAACTGATCATTGATAAGGTACCCATAACCTATTTCATATGTAGCGTGAATTTACATATCCATCTTATCTTCCACTCTTTCACCCTGTCTCATCTCAGTTTAAATCTTACATTAATTTAGCCACTTCATCTCTGTGACAAAGTGTCAAAAATTTGCCTTTTAATAAAATCTGTAGCCTGGAAAGGTGGTATGGCTTCTACTAATTTTTGGCTGACATAGATTAATATGGCTGTCTTCCTACAATACATTGTTTATATGTTTCTCTGAGTTCAGTGTGAGCTTAGAAATGTTCCCTACGTAATATAGGAAGTCAGATTATGCCTTTATTTTAAATAACATGATAGAAACCATTAACTATTTCCAATAGTTAAAATAAGCAAGGATAATGACAGGCATACTGGATAATACAATTTCCATCTCAGAAATTTTTCTTCAGTATTTTAAAACTCAGCTAATAATAAAATGGATATGGATGAAAATTGGCTAATTACATTGTTTTGGTAATATTCTTGATGCTTTCAAACAGAGTAGTTATTTCACTTACTTAGGATTTGTTTTCAATTTTCCTTCTGGGAACAAAAATTCTTAGCACCGCTTAACAACGAAGAGAACATAGTCTATAAGCAAACTTTTATCTCGGCATCTTGGGATTGAACCTGCCTCTCGGATAGCTAGATGCATTAAAACACTGCTTTATTACTAAATGAAATATAAAATTAGTCATCCCACTGTTGAATGAAATGAAATGCTTCATTTATTAAGGATTTATTTTTGTCATATTTGAAAAATAACATAATAGGTTTTTCAATAGCTAAGGACAAGAGATTCCTTTTTTGAGCCAAGAGCACTTTTTTTTCAGTTGTAAAACTTCTATTGGCAAAATACAAGAGATAGGAACAACAATTAAGATGTCAAACCTTGCTGACTCCACTTTAAAACTGTTTCATTGCCAGAAAAAATCAGCCACTATTAGAAGAACTGAAAACGGAGAGGCTACTTTGCTAATTGGAATGTGTTAGCATTGCGACTGAACAATGAGTAAACCTACAAAAATGCTTTTCTAGGCTCTCAAGTTCTCAATAGACTAAACACTTATGTGAGTAAAGGCAACATCAGATTAGCTTCATGCTTATGACAGTTCTAAAAGTAGCTGATTACAGTGTAGAAGCTGGCAAAGATAAAGCAGTTACTTCCTTTATTGGTAAGCACACTGAATTCCAATATTTCAGCATTACGGACTATGCACAGCTGCTACCAAAAACATCAGCTATCTTTCATATCTCCCTTTCTGGAGAATGTCAATCAACACAAAATATGTACCATTCTCTCTTGACTTTCCCTATGTGGCAAACTCACAGCACAGTGATGTCACACAAACATCATCCACAACACAGATCTTAAAACAGCAGTCTTTGATTAGGTTTTGTAATACTTAGTCTTTGTGATAATCTTGAATGGATTCTACTTGCCAAAGAGAAATAAAGGTGGAGTAGATAAATTCAAATGGATAACCCATACACAACAAAGCTTAGAAAAAGAAAATGTTTTGATTCAACAACAATTTGTAAGAACAGTTCCTAATACACCGGACTGATCTGCTAAGCCTAAGATTTCAAATCATTCCATTGCAGAATTATCAATTAATGAACAGCAGAAAGACTGGCAGACATTCAGTTGGTAAACAACTATGCCAAAAGCACTTTCCTAAATAAAGAGATTTCCTCAATTTCTAGGAGCAAATGAAACTAAACAATGCCCTTACATAATTTGCATTAAGTACAAGACATAAGCACAAATCAGCAAGCAGAAGCATAAAAGTCTTTTTGGGAAAGGACCCAAAGGTTAAACATTTGCCCAAACAATATTTTTTTATATCCCTCAGTACATAGCCGGGAGTTAATTTTACACAATATTATTGAAACAAGAGCCTAGTGGGGAATAGCATCTGTTTCTAATCATAAAATCTGAAGATCAGTGGATAAGAACTGCTGGTACATTCATCAGGCATATACTTACAGTGAATTTGGCCGGTTGGGTTTGATAACTTCTATATTAGATTCAGTTAAGTTCTTGTTAGGCTGAACAGCATTACTGGACTGGAGCAAACTGTTGGTGTTTGATGATGATATGACCGATTCTAGGCTGGAGTTAATTATACTGTTTCTGTTTTCCTCTGAAAAGTAGACCAAAATGAACTGATGCTGTGACATGATTTTTATGAAGATATTTTTTTTAAAAGAGAGAACATTGGAATTTCTGAAAACATATCTATTAAAATTCAAATTTCAATATATTGCAGTCATAGACCAGTACACCTATTAGAATTTCTACACTAGGTTTAAAAACATTGTTATACTATTTAGGTTCTTATTTCTGCATTAAAGCTGCTGAGTTTTTGCTTCTTCCTCTAAAGATATTTAGCTAAAACATTTCATGCTTTAAGAATTTTCTTCTTTGTGCAAGCACTTAAAAAAAATCCTACTCTCATAATACTCCTGCCTCTTCCTCAAGAATAATTTGCTCCAAATTATTTAGGATAACAGAGAGCTGACAGTAATGGTAAGTTATGGTTCCTGCTACAGTTCTAGAACTCCAGAATACATTTTAAAACCAATGAGAATTTGTTAAGTATATACAAAGGAGAGTAGACTTATACCTTTTATTCTTAATAATAATAATAATAATAACAACAACAACAACAACAATAAAGTTGGAAGGGACCTTGGAGGTCATCTAGTCCAACCCCCTGCTCAGGCAGGAAACCCTATACCATTTTGGACAAATGGCTGTCCAGTTTCTTCTTAAAAACTTCCAGTGTTGGTGCATTTACCGCTTCTGGAGGCAGATTGTTCCACTGGTTAATTGTTCTAACTGTCAGGAAGTTTCTCCTTAGTTCTAGGTTGCTTCTCTCTTTGGTTAGCTTCCACCCGTTGCTCCTTGTCCTGCCTTCAGGCACTTTGGAAAATAGCTTGACTCCCTCTTCTTTGTGGCAGCCCCTGAGATACTGGAACACTGCTATCATGTCCCCCCTCGTCCTTCTCTTCGTTAAACTAGACATACCCAATTCCAGCAACCGTTCCTTATATGTTTTAGCCTCCAGTCCCCTAATCATCTTTGCTGCTCTTCTCTGTACTCTTTCTAGAGTCTCAGCATCTTTTTTTACATCGTGGTGACCAAAATTGGATGCAGTATTCCATGTGTGGCCTTACCAAGGCTTTGTAAAGTGGTAAAGGATCTTCTGGCTGCATTCAGTCCTATGAATCTTTTCTAGCTTTATCAATCAATATATAGTCACAGGCCTCACAAGACCTCTGCTACCAGATTCCATTGTCTTAAGACTAAGGAATCTATAGTTAAAAATGAAATCTATAGTTTACATTTCACAAAAGACAAGAATGCAGAATAATACTCAGCACCTGAATGGGACAACTTGGTGCAGACAACTCGTCACAGCCAACTCACCATGAGACAATCCACTGCAGGACAGTTCAACCAATTCAATTTCAGGATTTAAAATAATTTAAAAAATATTTTATTTTTTGTCACTCATATTTCATTTTGTTCGCCTTTTGCATCCTTTCTTTAAAATTCTGTTCTGCCATTTCTTTGATATTAGTGTGATTTTTGTCCCGTGGTGAGTTGTCCCACAGACAGTTGTCCCGTGGTGACTTAGCCACAGTGAGTTGGCCACGGCGAGTTGGCCATAGCAAGTTGGCCATGGCGAGTTGGCTGAGGCAAGTTGGCCGTGTTGAGTTGTCTTAGACTCAACTCAGCACAGAGAATAAAGATACTTACGCTTTTCATTGGGTTGCAGTGTATGGAAAAGAGTTAAGGGCCTCTCACTGCAGGACGGTGGCTTTGAATCTGTACTCTTTTTTCGAGATAAGAGCAGCTGAGAATTTGACTGTAGAGTATCAGGCACCGTGTTAAATATCTATCATTTTTTTTAAACAAAGAAAAGAGAATTTGAAAATTGTTAGAAAAGTCTCATGAAAAGGGAGCAATTTGTATTAAAACCTAAAAAAATATATGTGTGGAAGTAGTAACTCTCAAAAAATGGCTGTAAAGAATAGTCAAATGATTTTTGATAAAAGAAAAAATATTTCTTAGATTAACCATTCAACAGTGCTCCTTACACTTTTGCTAGTTTAGAGATAAGTCTAATACTAAATTCTCTGAGATTATCTAGCTTTTGTGATTATGCAGACAATAATAATAATAATAAAGCTGGAAGGGACCTTGGAGGTCATCTAGTCCAACCCCCTGCTCAGGCAGGAAACGCTATACCATTTCAGACAAATGGCTGTCCAGTCTCTTCTTAAAAACTTCCAGTGTTGGATCATTCACCACTTCTGGAGGCAGGTTGTTCCACTGGTTAATTGTTCTAACCATCAGGAAGTTTCTCCTTAGTTCTAGGTTGCTTCTCCTGCACACTAATTATTTTGGCAATCCGTATCAGACTACAATTCAACTAATAATTTCTAAAGCCAAGAAGTCTCAAGCTGCTATTTCTTTGCTGACCCAGCTGATTCAAAAGCTGCATGCTGATCTTCAAAGGAAAGTAAGCAAGTTTATGATGAGAGTATACACTGATTCACTGAAAATGGACAAAGTAATTAATAATCTCCCTGGATTGATAATGTTCTAAACCGCTCTTTTTCTTTTTTCAATTAGCTAAAATTAGCCTTAAAGATTAAATTGCCTCTTGGGATTAAACAAAATTGGGCATTAAGCAAAACCTCTTCCTGAGAGAGGGGGAAAAAAAGTCCTGATCTTCAGGAATTGCACAGAGGATTTACTGTACATATACATCATTTTAACATGATGAATTCCATATTTTACTACCTTTTTTTTCTTCGAGCTGAAACTATTTCTGATGATTCCCAAAGCATCATTCATTTGTATCTACCCCCACACCACAAGCTGTATTCTAAAGGGAGCCATAACAGCTTAAATAAAGCAGCTCAAGCTGGTACAAGATTATTCATTCCAATTAAACTGGTGATTCATTCCATGTCACACCCACATTATTTTTTTTCCCCTTCAACGAGAGGGAAACTCTTCTTTTCCACTATGCAATTTCTGTTATGAGTGGTCTGGGATTTCAGAATTCCCTCAGTGAAAGGATACAGAAATCCAAACATTTCATCTCCCAATCAATAAAAATGTTCAGGAAGAGAATGTGGGCTGGCAGACGCCTGGAGACAAGCCCTGTTACTTGTCAAATTCCTGTCTCTTCCCAATGTTCTTGCAGCTGACAGCTGCTAAAATATTCACTGGAATCAGTAAACATTGGTAAACAATCACTTTTTCAAAACATGGAACATACACGACTCAAACACAGTTTACCTTTTCATGATTTTCTATTAAAATCTCAACTACAATATTTTGGAACTTGATGTCCATAATTGCAGCAACGGTTTCTTCTTGTGGTCGCATTAACGTTGGTCCAAAAACAACTCCCAGATTTGCGACAGTCATAAGATTCTGTTTGTGGTTTTCAGCAACACTGCAATGAAACAAGCACAATAGATTTTCAACAGGCCCGGCAAATTTAAGTATTAGCCCATTTTTAAAAAAAAATAATTTTGGAAAAACCTACCGTGGTATTTGCATTTCTGCAGAGTAGACTACAATTTTGGGTTTTAATAACAAAGCCAATGAAAGATCAATGTAGGCTAACTCATAACAGAGCACTCATAACAGAAATTGCATAGTGGAAAAGAAGAGTTTTCCTCTTGTTGATAACACTTCTACAAAGGCCTGTAAACCCACACATAATTCAGGGAATAAAAATTGCAAAGAAGATGATGACAATATGTTTCCATGTAGAGATGCAATTTAGAAGAACAAAGTGACCATTATTGGTTACAATATTTTACCTGAGATATGCTAAACCAACACCCACTGTCTTGAAAAAAATAAGCAGAATTTTGAATACACAGGATCTGAGTAGTGGATAAACTTGTTTTCAACTGACTTGTTGATAAATCCAGTTAACAACTGGACCAATCACAAGTATTTCATGACCTGGAGAAAGGATATGGGCTTGTATATATTGAAGGAAATACACTGAATAATGTGGGCTGTTAATATTATTATTTAATTGTATTATTTATTTTGCTCAGACTCAGTGGTACCTGATGTTAATTTAATACATGTCTCTGACTCACTGAGATTAGTCATTAGACAGGTTTCCTTTGAATTCACTCAAAATCTCCATCATACAAGCCCAGTGTTTCAGCAAGAAAGAAATCTCAAATAAATATGGCTGAAAGATAAGAAAGGAAGACAGATAAGATTGTGTATACTTTGGCATTTCTGTATCCTGAAACATTTAATATATGAATTTGCAGCTGAAAATAATTTCTGATTTTCCTACACGGGTCCAATAACTGAGGTGCAGGTCACAAAAAAAAAAAAAAAAACCACAGTCCACTGAAAAGAACAACTGAGGCTTAGGAAAATATGTACCTACTACACTGTACTGACTTCCATGGTCAAGAAACTAAAGAAACAAGAACACAGCAATATTGTTTGAATTAATATCATAATAGAACTGTGAATTTTACATATGATCTCTTTTACTGAAATAATGTAAGGCATAAATATCAATAAGAACTACTTTGTTTAAAAAAAGATATTCTAAATTGATAGACACACACACACACAGAGTATACATACACACACATGGTTCTCAAATCTCAAATATTTTAGGAAATTGGAGAAGATATTATCTTTCCAAATATAGTTATCTTTTGCTTTTATACAGCAGAATTTTCCTATTTGCAATGTAAAACTGTAGTCATTGCAGGTCAGGTCTTCCCAATAATTCAAGCTATATCATTTGATTGTAAGCGTTCTACAGACAGCATTTGATCTGAACCAAATTCTCATCTCTACCTGTTTGTGGGTATTATTGAGATAATATGTATACTGTATAGAAAGAGTGGAAGGATTATTAAATAAATAATATATATTTTTTGTAATTTATTTATTTATTTATTTATTTATTTATTATTTGAATTTATATCCCGCCCTTCTCCTTGCGGACTCAGGGCGGCTGACAATCAATTAAAAACACCAATAATTCATAGTCTTTTGCTCTGCTGGGAAAATTATTGTAATTAAGTAGACATTTTATAAATTCCAAACCAAGTACAAATATAAAAATATTCAAATACTTTACCTACATTAAAAAATATTTTCAGATTAACTCTTAGCATCAGGTGTGGGTATAACTACTTCTGCATCTGGATGCACTTACAAATAAATCATTTTCACTTGATGAAAATGGGGAAAGGGATGGCAGATTAAGACACTTACTAGTACTGCTCAATTAATGACCATAATGAAGTCTGCCTGTCATGGTCGTAAGTCACGATGCTCATAAAACAGGTCAGTCCCATGACTGACCCAATTTTACAACCTTTTTTGAAGTGGCCATTAAGCAAATCACCAGTCGTTAAGCTAACCTGCAGTCATTAAACAAACCACATAGTTGTTAAGCGAACCAATAGTTTTTCAGCAAAACTACAGTAAAGCACGGTCACATGACTGTGGGATCAGCCATGCAAACAGCCATAAATATGACTATGTTGCCAAGGGCCCAAAGTTTGGTCATGTGGCCACAGGGAGGCCGCTGACCATTGGAACTGGGCTGTTCCAGGCTCTTTGTAACTTCAAACTGTAAGCAACTGGTTGTAAGTAAAGGACTATCTGTACCTGCAATTCCAAAAGACAAATCTGAGAACTCACGTGAAATTTTAAATTATTCATTGATGATTTCTATGATTTCCTTTTGTTTCATGATTTTAAAAAAAATCAAATTTTTGAAGAGCAATAAAATGAAATGCAGACCACAAAACACAATTCACAGAAAGAGAGAAGTAGTCCAGGAGCAACAGTATGGCCAATTGTTCTACCATGGAAGTTGGAAGTTGTCCAAATTAATATTCCCCCTTCAAAAAGCCCTGGTAGAACTGTGGTTAGAATGTAGTATTGCAACTTGACTCTGCTCACTGCAAGCAGTTTGATCCTGACCGGCTCAAGGTTGACTCAACTTTCCATCCTTCCAAGGTCGGTAAAATGAGGACCTAGATTTTGGGGGGCAATATGCTGACTCTGTGAAACCCTTTGAGAGGGTTGTAAAGCACTGTGAAGTTCTATATAAGTGCTAAGTCCCATTGCTATTGCTAATATGTAAGCTTCAGATTTCAATAAAATGTAACCATTTGCATTAAAAGAGTTCCTAAGAGTACTTGCAGAAATCAGAGTACATTAGCTCAGATACAATGTGTAAAGTATAATCTCAACAAAAAAAAAACCCACCAGAGCATAAATATACTAAACGGTAAACATCCTGCCATCGCTATGAATTGCTACTATGGAAACGCAATATGAGAATCCATGTCATAATTAGCAGTACTACCTGATATGACTTCTCTGAGGAAAAAAACCCAAACATTTTCAACAATTCTTAACATTTTTATAGCATCTTGGGAGCATAAAGCATACTGGTAACTCAACCTATTTTAGAAAGTGTTTTATTTTTTAAAAAACAAATTCTTACATACTATGACAACCTTTCAGAAACATATACATTGTTCACAATTCTCCTGTTACTTTAACAGGAAAAATTCAGTATTCTTGAGAAAGTTCTTTTGAGGCCCCCATTTGAGGAAGTGGCTTCCCACTAATAATTGTTTGTGTGTATATACAAAAAATAATAACAACATTAGACCAACAATCAAGCAGTTAACGGTACCCCAATCAAGGAACTGTCAACAAGCCAACAGTAAGCAGCCCAACCAAAGAATGATCAAGACAACTCCCAGCAACACGGCAAAATATAAGTAATAAAATATAAAATGAGAGCAAATCTCACTCTCTACTTGCACTGATGGTTTTACCTAGTTTGGGTAATGAAACATCTAAGGAAAAACAACCAAGTTCAGAGAGTATCAAGGAACCCTAAAAAAAAAAGATATAAAAGCCAATTCTAATTTTCTAGACCATTATAGGCTGCTCTCTTCATATCAGCATTAAAGAACAATGCCCAAACATAATTGCTTTGAATCACTATTATATTCTCAGCCCAGGAAAAGGCCACTTGAATGAAAGAAGCAGATGTCTTTCAATGTACACTTTTCTAGGAAAACAGATGAGAACATGATATGTACAGGTAACAAGAATAGCACAAAACAAATACTAGCATTTATTTTTGTCATTACAGCAGTAGAGAACAGTACAGTATTTAATATAAGATGTACTAATATTCCACAGAAGAAAATGATATAGCAAAGATCTATAAATCCAATCTTTGTTCTGAAATCACTTTAGGGTATAAATGGCTATATATAAGAAATGTTCACGTGAAAAACCCTGAAATATAAAAATAAACTTACATTTTATGAAATGTATAAAATACGTTATGCATGCATGTATTAAGTTTAGAAACTTAATAAAGAATATCCTTTTTAAGTAACACTTAATTCAAATTAACCCAATAATTGTTCAATTCATAATTTTTGTTTAGAATTTTCTGATAAGTAGGTATACACAAAATGGAATATAGTAATTATTGCCTTAGTACCAATACTATTTCATATTCAGAACTATTTTTACATAGTTCTACACTTTTTCCAGACAGCCTTTCTCAAACAACATGCAACTTTAGTATTTTAGTTATAAAGAAGCTTACATCTTAAAAGTCTGGTCTTAAGAATGCAAGCTAAATATTTCTGCTTAGTGCAATTATCTTTAATGATAAGATTAAGGTCCTTCTACACAATGACTCTGTCTCAGTTGTGTGATCCTGAAAAGTCAATTACTTTTGTGTAGGACATGTTGACATGTTTGTCCAAACTTTTGGCTCGCCTGGGCCCCATTGAGTAAAGAGGAATTGTCTTGGGCTACATATAAAATATATAATATAGTTAATGTATGTAAATCACATAATAATGTTAAATGTTTACGATCTTGTGGGGCTGTATTACTAGCTGTCCAGGGCTGCATGCAGCTCATTGGCCACGGATTGGATACGTCTGGTCTAGGTCAGGGGTCTGCAACCTTAAACACTCAAAGAACCACTTGGACCCGTTTCCCAGAGAAAAGAAAACACAGGGAACTGCAAAACGCGAGGGGTGGGGAGCTTGATTGAAGAGTTTAATTAAAAAGAAATAGAGGCTGCTGTGCATGAGTTCTCTCTCTCTCTCTTTCCTCTCCCTCTCTCTCTTTCTTTCTCTCTTTCCTCTCCCTCTCTTTCTCTTTCATCTCCCTCTCTTTCCTCTTTTTCTCTCTCTCTCTTTCTTCTCTCTTCCTCTCTCATTCTCTCTCGCGCTCTTTCCTCTCCCCCTCTCTCCCTCTCCCTTTCTCTCCCTCTCTCTCTCCCTCTTTCTCTCCCTCTCTTTCCTCTCTCTCTTTCTCTCTCTCTTTCCTCTCTCTCTCCCCCCTCCCTCTCTCCGATCTTCTGCTCACCTGGCAAGCTGGCTTCAGGCTGTTCTCCAA